ACATCAGCACACTCAACCCCAGTATTTGTTTCTACTAGGCTCTAAATCCTCAAAAGCAAATATAAAAAATTAATTTTTCAGTGTACAAACTGCATGCTTGTTTATTAATTAACAACTGAATTGGAGTGCTGTCCTGTTTTATCATAAAACCCAATTGTTATTTATTTTTTTTATTTTTTTTACACATTATCATTGGTCAGTCACCTAGTATGTTTTTGTACTATGTGTCCACAGACCCTTTTGTGATTCAATCTTAGAGAGACAGAAAGAAGACCAGGTTGAAGAGTAATTGTTAAGAGGCAGGAAATTCACCTTAATGAATTTAGAGAGAAAAAGTGCATACTAAATAGAAACCTTTCAAATGATGAATGACAAGTAACTTATAAAAAGCCTCATCTTCTAGGTCAAGACTGTATGTCAAAGAGCTAATCACCAGACAACGTGTAAGCCTCTATCTTTAAGCCATGGGTACAATTTAACTAAGCAGATAAGTGCAGGAATGAGTGCGATGAAGGAAGAGAGGGAGAGACGGGCTAATTGCTGTGGATTTTCAGTCCTCCAAGGGAATGTCTCTCAAACCCTGCTGTTACAGAGGTGAACTTCTCTCTCTTTTCATCTCTTGGGTGAACCAGGTCCCAGGGCAGTCCTCTTTCTTCAGAACTCAATTTTGATCTCAATATAGAGATAAAGACTAAGGTCTGGCAGTCAGTTTTGAAACATGTCCACACGTCATCTATTTGTGCCCATCAAAGGGTCTTACAATGCAAAGTAATTCACAGGATCCAATGGTCTAAAAGCAAACTAGCTCGCATCTTTCCTGGCCCTGATGCAAATTATGATTAATTTCACCTAGGACCAGCAAATCTCACCCACATGTTATGGACCTCTTTTCATCTGCTAATATCCACCCCTCACACTTAGTTGGCCTGACTGGTGTTGTTTCCGTTGACCATTCACTGCCATCCAATTTCCTTTGACTGTCATTTTGAAGCACTGGAAGTGTCCTCGCCCTCCACCGCCCCATTCTCATTGGATAAATAATGCCCTATCCTTTGTGAAATTGTAGAAAATTAAACGCTCTCTTTGTGGTGCTAACGTAAATTTTTTTTAAAACTCTTCTTAGAACATGTCATTTCTCTCAGTATGTAGTATATCCAAAATGTATTTGTTTTCTTTCTATTGTGTTTTCTTGTGGTTTTATTGTTGATACGATCGTCTTACTATCATTATCACCTCTGCCAATATTTACCTCATTCTACACAATGTGTGTTTAGTTTATTCAGTTATACATGCAAGGGTTTATGTATTGTATTGTTGTTGGTTAATAAACAAATAAAATATATATTAAACAAAAGAAGTGAGTATGAATGAGGGCAGAGGAGAGCAGAAGGAGGGAAAGACAAGAGCTCAATCAAGATATCTTTTATTCGTTTCACTTTGAGCTTTTTCCATTTTAGTTTTTACTTTGTATTCTGAATTTCTGTTGGAGATTCTCTCTCTGTGTGTGTTTCTCATTTGTGTTTCTCACTCGTTTGTGTTGTCTGGTATTCACAGTGTGGACGATACTGAGCTAACCCTTTGTACGTGAAAGAAGTTAACTACTATTCCTAAGGCACATTTCAGTAAAAAACATCTAATTGCCAAGCTTGCAAATCTGCCATGTGTGCACTAGCGATGGATGGTATGGGAACTTGTGGTCCAAAAGAAATGATTCTTGATAGCCCTCCTTGATCTTTTATCTAGTGCCTCTGCATTTTAAGGTATTTTTTTTTTTAAACTGCTAGATTGAGATGAAATTTACTCTGGAAATTAATACAGTCCCCTGATGATGAATCCTAATGTTTTAGTGACCTCCTGAGCCTTCCTCTAACACTACTTTTAGTTCAAACTTCAAACTCAAATTTATACCCTCTGACTAAAATGTCAGTGTGGCACAGATTATATCTCATAATCTAACTGGCATTTTGATTAGTTGATTTTGCATTTCCAGAATACATTCATGCTCCAAGAAGATACAACTCTGTGTAAGATGTACTAAAGGGTTAATTATTGGGTTTTACATACATCAAGATGTGTGTTTGTTTTTCATCCACCATCACAGCTCTTGCCATTTATAGCAGTTCTGCCAATCAGTGCAAGATAGAAGAGTGGTATGAGAAAAAGTGACAACAATGCACATATACACCAGCTATGTTTCTTACAGTGTAAAGAGGACTTAAGGCTGACATCCGTCTAAAGTCTGTGTTCCAATGAAAAGACTCATGTCCGCAAGGATCAGCCCTGCTAAATTGTCCTCGAGACAAACCTGGAATCCTGACCAGCTCCAGGATCACTGATCTTTAGCTAACATTGACCTCTGATTTCCGAGGGGGAATGTAAAAAGACGGTCCCCACAAATATAATGAAAGAGCCAGATTACGGTATAATTAAAAGCAATTCAGACACAATACATCTTATAATGAATCCAGATGACTTAATTTGCCTTAAAAGCACAACAAGATAAAATGATAATGACTGATCCCTGTAGAGAAATCAGCAACCAAGAGAGCCAATAAAGACAGAATATATATATAAAATGTCACATTGGGGGATATTATTGAGAGATATTTGTGAAACAGCTATAATGACAATATGCACACCACAGTGCTGGCAGAACTTAAAAGGATATAGCCTATTTATTTTGTTTTGTTTATTTTGCGATGTAGAAGAGTCCCATTTATCTTGGAGAACTGATAACTAAATCCCTATAATATGTTTTATTTTTTTAGAAAGACTGGTTAAAGAAACATTCAATGAGAGATTGCAATGAGTTACAAAAGTTGAAGTGGACAAACCGAATGTGATATCAGCACGTCTGCTCTCTATAGCCTGTAGTGAAACAACAGGAAAAAAATCGCTCTTGCTACACTGATTCTGATTTGGACATCTCAGCTACATATTAGAAATGTCCTTTGGTTGAGGTCCTGCTTTATCTATTTTATAATTTTTTTTTTTACAGTCTATTGGCGTTACCCAAGACTTCTTCTCTTTCTCTCTCTCTCTGGAAGTTAAAGGGCTAGTGGAGCCTGATTAGGATGCAGAGGAGAAAGGCTCTGCTGCAAATTGAAAACATATTGATTCTCCTCATGCTTGGAGGGAGAGGGGGCGAGAAACAGAGGGAGAGAAGAAAAAGGACAAGAGGAAAGAGGGAGAGGGTGAGGAGGGAGAGGGAGAGAAAAAAGAAGGATAAAATCTGGTGATGAAACAGGGAGAGTATGGGTGTCTGGTCTCTGTCACACATATGAAAACAAACACATGCATTTTTTTTTTTTTTGCATTTCTAAGATAACATCCCATGGGTTTAGGGCTCTATGGTCACCATGGTTACAGGGTCAGGGCAGCGGTTGTGCCTATATGCTTTAGTGTACATTATGCATCTTCTCCATATGAGGTCATGCTGTCATGTCCAGCTGTGGTGGGGAGAGGCCGCGGGATGCCGATGAGAGAGGACAGCGCATAACACGTGCAGATGTGCTGACTGCACAGTTTCCATGGGAACAAGCCCCCCCCCGCCCAACCACCACCACCACCAACAACAACATCATCATATCCCTCCTCCTTTCATCGCTGTTCATTGCACTTGCAAAAGCTTGCCAAGCTCCGCTAATATGTCTCGCTGCGTCTTTATGTGTTCATGCATTCTTTGTACCGCTCTCACATCAGCTACAGCTCAATCTATCTTGTCTTGAGAGCACGTGCAACAGTTTTTAAGTGTGTGTGTGTGTGTGTGTGTGTGTGTGTGTGTGTGTGTGTGTGTGTGTGACATGCTTGTCTCATTCTTTAATCAAGGATGAAGGCGAAGAGAGGAGAGTGTGAGGGAGGCGGTGGATGTTATCAAACAAAGTGGCGTCCTGTCTTGTGCACACACACACACACACACACACACACACACACACACACACACACACACACACGGGGCAAGCATCATTTGTGTGCATATAGAAAATCACAGTCATCAGTATCAGAGCTGATCATACAGCTTATTCTTCTCTAGACTGCTGTACAAAAGCTGCCATCATATGGTTATCCACTGAGACTGCACGTTTAATAATCCTAAAGTGTTGGTGGCAATAGTGGATAATCACGTTACATGTAGGCTATAGGCTATTAGATGGCATGTACACATAATTATTGTTAGCCTTTTATTTCTGACTGTTTTGGGTGCCCCACTCAAAGTCTTGCAGAGAATGCCAAAATAATAAGCAGTGGCTTGCATGGAATTCCATAAAAAGTGTTGATTAAAGAGAACCATATATTTGATGAAAGTCACACCTACCGATTAGAAGTAAAAGAAAACAATCCAAACCCTAAATATGCTTGCCGTATTTGTGTGTACAGATAAAAGGTTGCATTGGCCGGGAATCGAACCAAGTCTCCCTGCACTGAACTGGAAATGCAAGGACGTTTTAAGTAGGTCTGGATGGCCCTCCACAGGTCCACTACTGTATTGCAATCAATTGTATTTTTGAATGAATTGCCCTGCACTTTACGCCATCTAGTTGATTAGCACTAAAAAAGTAGTCCTACCTAAAGCGTCAAGATCAATAGAAAGATCATTTCACTTCTGAGTAATTTAGTGGTGATATTTCCCCCCTACAATACACACATCAAAATATTAACTGAAACTGCAAACGTTTATATTTTACAAAAAACAAAAACAGCATGAGACGCCAATATAACAATGGGGAAATGTGTAACAGACTACTACTGAAAGATCAATAGGCCTACATTTAATAGACGTGATTGATGCATGTCCTTGTGCTTGTTCATGATGGACTAAAACATTATCTGCTCCAACTGACAACATCAAATCGATTATTTATTATAATTATACATTTTAGTAATCTTGTTTTGACTTACATCCATCTAACATCCTTGGAAACCTTGGGATGATGACAAGTATAATTATTTATTTATTTTTTGCTGAAGGCGAACGTTGGAGAGCCCAGTGCTGATTTACGACAGTTTCACAAACATACAGCCGTCACGCTTTACGGTAGGGCGTGCTGGTGTCTGTGGGCAGAACCAGGCAGCTGGCAGAAGGTAAGTCACACAAAAAAATCACCCATAACAGGTTTTGCATTTTCTCACTCAATATTAACCAAATTATCTGACATTTTTAGTCAGTTCGTCTTGTAGTGATACCTTTTTATAAAGTCGCCAGTGCTTTTGCTCCTGACTAACAACTAACACATGCTACTAGCTGACGCTAACTTAAACACACCTCGTCTGCAACAAGTCTCCAAAAAACTAGAAACTATTTAGATGTTTGTACGTTTTTGTTCGTGGTATTTGATTGGCGTTATGGGCAAAAGGTAAAGTACATATGAGGGAAAGAGTGACTTTATGCTACTGCAACGTTAACGTACAACGGTGCATTCATGAAATCTAAACACATTTAGATTTCAACTTGTTGTAGAGATACCCTATTGAACGAAGTTAAAATAAAAACGAACCCCAGCTTTGAGGGCATATCCGTAGTTCTCACAATTTGAGTCAGTGACTGTGAATATATTGGCTGGCTAACTGTCATGTTTTTGACCCGCTCAGGCAATGCGCATTGGACTGCCCAGTGCAGAGACACTGCAAGGTGGATCCTTGAAAGCTTTTGTTGTGGTGAGTGTGTGTTTCCTTGATGCAACATGGTGCATGCGAACGCCTCTTAACCATAACACACCTCATTTAACTTGTAGGTTTTCATTACAGAACTCAACGCTTGCTCTGATGTATTCTGGACACATCGATGCTCACTTGTTGGTTGGGTTTCTTCCTCTTCCTGCTCTGTCTTTTCTCCTCCCAGACGGTGCTCCTCAGTGTGTTTATGTTCCAGTTGCTGAGGACTGTTGGACTGAGGGCGTTTTCCATGGCATCTGAGACGTACACGTCGGGCACACACTCTGCCGCCTTTGTCACTTGTCCTAACGACACAGTGGCTAAAGACTTGGCCAGGTGATACAATCAGCAACATCTTAATTCTGTTTTAGAAATGTTTTATCTTTTAACATGTTTATAGAATAAAGGATAAAGTAAAAGTTATGGAAATCTATTCTTCATGTCTCTGTGTTACTGGATGGGCATAATAAAAATGGGATGTTGCATATGATTGGAAGTACTTTGAGCTCATCGAGTTCACCCAGTTTCATTGTCATTTCTGCCATTCAATCAATGGGATTTAGCATTCTTTCAAGTTCTTACGCATGATTTCATTTGTGGCTGATTGATTATTTTCTTCCATCTCACAGGGGTATTGTGGAAAAGAAGCTTGCTGCTTGTGTCAACATTGTCCCAGCAATCAAATCTGTGTAGGTTTTGAGAAGGCTGCTTTTTAGTGTCACGCTAGACTGGGTGATCTATGTTTCAAGATGTATTTTTTCTTAAAGAAAGGTCATGATAAATGAGGATTACTCTCTAAAGTTCATTTGAAGAAAAATGTCTTATTTTGGTATGTTCCTCCAGATATGAATGGCAGGGTAAGATTGAGGAGGACAACGAGGTGCTGCTGGTGAGTTATAACTATATACTGTAATATTACCTGAGTAAAATTTTACTTAAAGTTAAGCTAAATCCTATTTCTAAATTACTGTCATTGCTGCTATTATTTCAAATACTCTTATTGCTACAGCAGCACCTGTAACCTTTACTGCTGTTTCTGCTACCACATTTGCTACCATTATAGTACCCACTATCATCACCGCTGCAACTAGCACTTAAATACCATCTTTAATACAATAAAGCTTATTGACGTTGATAAATATCCATAAACTCATAGTAACTTCTTTAGAATATTTGAATAAAATGCGGGTTCTAAGTGTGTGAAAATTTATTTTACGTATAATTTACATATAATTCAAAAGTTTTAGAAATAATGAAAATAATCAAAGAATGAGATGAAATACGAGTCTGAATGTTTAGTTTCTTCACCACTTAATGACCAAATAAAACCAGACTATAGAGTCTAATGGACAAGACATGTTAACAAAACAGATTAAAACAAGATTATCTGTCAGTGGAGAAAAGTTTATTTAGTCGCTGTTTGAATGAGTCAACACTAAAGCACACATTATCAGATGTGAGCTGGGTTTTGGCTTTGTCAAATATGCGCAAAACAAATTTTCAGGATCAAACAAACTACATGATATTTATGTCTTTCGAGAATCGAGATGATCAGATTAGGTGATCACGGTGCCTTAAATTCCTGACCCAGGCATGTCCAACTACATGATGAACCATGACCAATGTTAGCTCTTTCATGGCCTGCAGTACTTGCAAATGTGATTGAGCAGGACGGGGTAGAGAAAGATTTCCAGGATTAGGAATGTTAAAAACCATTGGCATGTCATAGACCTTCTCATAATTAGTGAGAGAAGGCAACAAATTCACAATTCACATGACTGTCTCATCAAGTACAGTCCCCTCCAAAAGTATTGGAACAGTAAGGCAAATTACTTTGTTTTTGTTGTTCACTGAAGACATTTGGGTTTAAGATCAAAAGATGAGACAAGAGTTCAGAATTTCAGCTTTTATTTCCTGGTATTCACATCTAGATGTGTTAAACAACTTAGGACATACCACTGTTTGTATTAGACCACAGCATTCTTAGGTGAGCAAAAGTAATGGAACAAATAATCTTAAAGTAAATAACATTTAATATTTGGTGGCGTAACCCTTGCTTGCAATAACTGCCTCAAGCCTGCGACCCATCGACATCAGCAAACTGTTGCCTTCTTCATTTGTGATGCTATTCCAGGCTTTTACCACAGCTTCTTTCAGTTCTTGTTTTTTTCAGGGTGTTTCTCCCTTCAGTCTCCTCTTAAGGAGGTGAAATGCAGCGCTGTTGCGTTAAGGTCAGGTGACTGACTTGGCCAGTCTGAAACCTTCCACTTTTCCCCCCTGATGAAGTCCTTTGTTTTGTTGGCAGTGTGCTTTGGCTTATTGTCCTGCTGCATGATAAACTTCCTCCCCATTAGTTTCAATGCATTTCTCCGTAAATTGGCAGACAGAATGTTTCTGTCCACTTCTGAATTCATTCTGCTGATACCATCATCAGATCCATCATCAATAAATATTAATGAGCCTGTTCCAGAAGCAGCCATGCACGCCCAAGCCATGACATCACCTCCACCATGCTTCACAGATGAGCTTGTATGCTTCGGATCAGAAGCAGTTCCTTTCTTTCTCCACACTTTGGCCTTTCCATCACTTTGATAGAGATTAATCTTGGTCTCATCAATCCATAAGATTGCGTTCAAGGACTTTTGCAGCTCGTCTCTGTACTTCTTTGCAAATTTCACTCTGGCCTTCCGATTCTTCCTGCTGATGAGTGGTTTGCATCTTGTGGTGTGGCCTCTATATTTCTGCTCTGAGTCTTCTTCCAACAGTGGATTGTGATACCTTCACCCCTGCACTGTGGTCAGTTTTCCTTCTTTTCTCAGCTTGACAATGGCTTGCTTCTCTCCCATAGACAGCTCTCTGGTCTTCATGTTGGTTTATCCTCTTTAACAGGAAATGCAGTACTTACAGGTTTGAACCAAGGATGAAAACTTAGACTAGTCATGCAGAGCTATTTAATGTTTGGACAATCAACCTAAAAGGCAACACCTGGGCAACAAGAAACATCTGTCAGTCACATGTTCCAATAGTTTTGCTCACTTGAAAAATGGGTGGGTTCAAACAAACGGTGATATTTCCTGAGTTGCCTTACTGTTCCAACACGTTTGGACGAGACTGTATGTGATGAAGTTGGTAGCTGACCCAGTGTCTCTTTCCTGTTTAGATGATTAAAACAAGAAGTTCCAAGGTACCTGCTCTTGCTGAATATGTCCGGTAAGTTTATTTTTAAACTCGGTACAAAAAAAATACACCTTGCTCCTACCTTACTCTTAACAGGAACACTGTGTTTATTATGTAATCCATTACCTGCCATGACTCACGCAGTCAAAGAGCATGGCTTTAATTACTGCTATTTATATGCACTGTGTGCCTGTCTGTGCACTCAGTTGACTCATAACTGCTCATTGTCCTCTACAGCTCTAACCATCCTTATGAGGTGGCCGAGGTCATCAGTATGCCTATTGACCAGGGCAACCCGCCTTACCTCAAGTGGATAGGAGATGTTGTCCCTGAGTAAAGATGGACTGATGGATGAGTGGATCCATTATTTGACAATACTCAAGCACAATAAATACACTATCCAAAAATGTCATGTTATTTCTAACTGCAAAAGTCCAGGACTTACAAAATAAGAAAAAAATGTGCATTGTGTAAAAAAAAAAAAAAAGCAATACACTGGGTGTTTTGAAGTTATTAAAACTATCATGTTATCTAAAATATTTCCTCTTTTGTTGTGTTCCGGCCATCATTTGAGTCTTGTAATATTTTCCCTTTCTAGTATGTTAGCCTCTAGAGGGCAGTGCTGGTCTTTCATTTTCAAAGTTAACCAGGTGCAGATTGAGCTGTGTTACACTGTTCACCTGTTTTTACCTGCCACTAAAATGTTGTAAGTGAACAGACATCAGTTAGATTCCAGATCTGTTTTACAAAAGAAGCTTTTCCAATAAAGTGGATGATTATTTTTTATTGGTTTTAAGTCTTTCTTGGTGAACAACATACAGTAAATTTGAGGTCAACACGACAAACATGTCATGAACATATTACATACTGTATAAATGTACACATTGTGCAGTCGTTTCAGTGGCATGAATACATACAACACCACTTTTATTAATGGACAAAAACATTTACATACAAATATCATCTGTAAACATTTATTTAGCCCACTGTAACCACATAACACTTGGATTTATTACTTTACCAAAGCAACATTGTTGAAAACACAACATCTAAATGCAAGCACTACTTGTGATCATAGACAAAAAGATGAAAAAAAAACAATCATGTGGCAAGTTGGCCTTGTAATATAACCTGCTGATCTGGGATTTGACTTAAGTCTATTAGCGTTAAGTAAGACATGAACTATAAGGTTCACAATACACTACACAACACACCCCTACTTTTGCAACCATCATAACCAACTTTCCATTCAATTTATCAACATAATGTGTTAAACTACGAGCATGAGGTAGAGAATTCTTCAAAAATACTAAAAATAACACTTAAATAGATCAGAGTTAATGTTAAAGGTTGTGTTTTCTATGCTTATATGTGTGTTTCATTTCTCTCTTCTACATGGTTTCTTCATATTTTAAGAGGAATTAATAAGTAAATACAAACATGATCATGTGTTTTCCACACTGCAGTGCAGTTTTCTCACTATCTGAAATCACTAATCATATCTGAGAGCAGACTTTCTGAAACCCTCCCCCCACCCCCCAAAATCCAGTTAAATATGACTCACCTAAAGTTCCAGTCACAAGGAGAAAATAGACTTTAAACATGCTTCTTCTTGAAACCTGCTATATACCTATTTAGAAAGTAGTAGTCTGGCATTGTTCCTATTTCTGTTATTGCACATCTCGGGCAGTAAATAAACCAAGTTGTTGTCAGTTAGCCTTAAAGAGTGAAAAGAAATCACGTGCTGTAGTTGCTTTGAAGAAATGCAGTGACTGAGTTGCATCTATGCCCAGCTCCATGTATGTATGTATGTATGCTCAGGCAAGCACAGTATGGATATTGTTACACGAAACAAAAGCACAAAACAACAGGCACACAAGTGAAACATGCTTGTGAAAACAGTGCAATTTACCTAATTTACCTGGACTGTTTTAAAAATCCAATGCAGTAGAAGTAAATATAGTTGACATTTTTAATTTCACATTAGCTGTGTTTTCTCCCTCTGGGACATGATTCATACAGTGCATTAGCCATTTCAGAACAACATATTCCTGATTTTCTTTTTTTCAGTAACAATCTTCTTCAACATGACAGCAATAAACAAATATAAAGGGTTACATCAATCTTTTAAGACCTTCTTGGTCTAAAATCTAGGCTTCTGTCAGTTTAAAGGGACCATACCAGTAAAAAGTACTCAAGATTAAAAGTGAGACATCCAAACACAAAATCAGGAACAAAACATCAGGAAATAAATATAAATCTCAAGAATAAACGGTAACTCTTGAACGTTCATTCATTGTGTTTCTGCATGTATTCTGCAACAGTAATTGCATACTGTCCTTATAATAATTGCAGCCATTTTCCAAGGCATTGTGTTTTTCCAACCGTTTCAGATATTTAAATTTGTTCTTCCTATCTTTTAGGTTTCCATTGGTTGTGATTCAAAATGGTTAACATCGAGACTGCTTTTATATTTTGTAAAACTTACATTATTTTTATATTTTTGCACCATGGCAAAATCAATTGCATTGAATTCGGCAGTCTATGACATCATGCGAATTGCTATTTCAGCCAAGAAAAAAGATCTCACCCCAGCTTCAAAGATTGGCACACCACATGATCTAACATTGAGATTGTAATCTGTAATCCACAGTTGTTTTTGATATTTACAGCCATTTAGAATACACTTTAAATGGCATGTACCAAAATCCACTGAAAACATGGCATCTGTCACAGATAGCTGATTTCAAGCACATTGTTTTTGTCCAGGAATTCTTCAGGTTGTGACCTGCTGTTTCTACTTTTACTGGCTATAGGGGATGCTGTCTCAGCACTATCAAAGCCTGGGCCCTTCCCAGCCGGTTCTCCATTTGTGGCTGTCTGACCAGAGTGTTCCAGCTCTGACTTACTCCTCTGCATGACCTGGGGGCTCACGCCCTCTGTTACTCCACTGTGGTTACCATTTTGTGACCTCTTGCATATTTCACTCATCTGCATGGCCCCTTCTGTTCCATTGATTTCCTCCTCCTCCTCTTTTTTTTCACCACAGTTTTTCCTATGCACAACAGCGACTCCTTCACTTTTTTGTACTTGGAGCACAATGCCGCCCCACTCCTCTGTTGGCCTCTGTACCTCAGTGCAAGCCCTGTCGTTGTTCTTCACCCTATGTGAAGTGCCACACAGAGCCTTCCTGAAGCCTCTCTTGAAGTTGTCAGACAGAAATCCGTACAGTATGGGGTTGGCACAACTGTTTGCATATGACAGCACAACAACAAAAAAGTAGAGCCCCCTGAAGTCCCCGGGCAGGACCACCAAGAGGTTGACTATATTTAGAGCATAGAATGGTAGCCAGCAAAGGACAAACACTGCCACCACAACAACCACCATCCTGGTGATTTTACGTTCTGACTTCCTGCGCCGAGACGACGTGGCCTGTGCCCGTTTTCCAACACTGCGCACCTTTAGAAGGAAAGATAAACAACTTTTACCTGTCTTATTTAAACACATACATTTACTAGCAATGGCTCAGCTTACCCAAATAAAAATCTCAGTTACAGAGTTATCCTCACCTGAGATTTCTGCTGCCAACCTAATAAGAAATAGTTTGTAAGGTAACTGCTGACAGTGAGGTGTCTTAAGTATTGTACAACCATCGCTTATCCAATGCCGGGGGGTAAAGGCTGGAGCCAAGCAAAATATTGCAAAAATATCTCTGACTTAAAAATAATGCAACAGAGTTCCAAAGTGGGAGGACTTATTTTAGGCACCCCTGGAAGTAAAAGTACAATTTAATTTTCCCATAGAGAATGTTATGTGACTCACAGTTGGAGCACTTCTACAGCTTGGATGGGACTCTCCTGGTGGAATAATACAAAAGTCGAAGGTACAAAGTATTAAAATTCGTAGTCATAACATAAAAATGGTTGATACATTATCCAGGAGAGTTATGTGTTTCTATATTCAGTAACAATGAAGATATCGTTAAAGGAAACGCTCAATTGGCAATACAAAAGGGGGAAAAACATTTCTGGAACTGGCAGCTCCTCCCACTTCTCAACTCTATCTTAACAAAACATATCTGTGTTACTGTAAATGTTGTACCTTGATGACGATCAGCAGGTAGCACATGCAGATGACCAGCAGGGGGCAGAAGAAGCCCATGGTGCACGTGTACACGATGAAAGACGTCTTCCACACTTCTGCTGGCTCAGGCCACACGATGCTGCAGTTCCCATCATCCTTCAGCACGTCGGCAAACACCACCACCGGCAGCACCACCACAAAGGACCCTGCCCAAACTGTGGCACTGATGGCCTTGGCCACACGGGGGCGCCGCCACCAGAAGGAGCGGATGGGGTGCACCACAGCCAGGTAGCGGTCCACTGACATCACAGTCAGGCAGAAGATGCTGGTAAACTGGTTGATGGCGTCCACTGTCATGACCACACGGCACATTAGAGACCCAAAGGGCCAAGAGAGCAGAGCATTTTGCACCGCCAAGAAAGGCAGGCCAAGCATGAAGAGCTCGTCTGCAATGGCTAAGTTGAGGATATAGATGTTGGTGACGGACTCATTCTTGGTGTAGTTCACAATAACATGGATGACTAGAGTGTTGCCCACGAGACCAACAACACAGACTATCCCATAGATAAGAGGGATGAAGATTCCAGCCAGGCCAGGGAGGGATTCAGCTTCAGATTTGGTGCCGTTCTGCCTGGTGCTGTTTAAGAGGAAAGAGCCATCATTTGGGATGAAGTCGAGAAGCGGTTCAGAAGGAGTGGAGAGGAGCAGGAAATTGGAGTAGGGGGGAATGGAGTTGTTACTCCAGGTAGCTGTAAGGCCTTCCTGAGGCAGCAAGGAAACCTGGGTGGCCTGGATAAACTCCATGGAGGCATTAAGGAATATGAGGCTACTGAAGGAGATAAGATCCTATGTGACAGGTCAGTGGCCCTACAAGGCAAAGTAAAGTTAGTTAAAATAGCACATTTCAAAAATTAGGACTGCATGTCTAAACCTTAATAATTAATAAGTTGTTGCCAAGAGTTACAGTGTATTGAGATTATTGTTAGAAAACAGCTATTACAAATACTTTGCAATTCGTGAATGTGAATGCGGTGCATTGCGACAGCTCTGCGTGGATGCTCACAGTGAGCCAGTGCACAAAAAACACTGTTTGAGTCTCACAATATTAGCATTGTAGCTAAGTTGATTTATTATGGTATAGTGGTAAGTACTGCACCAACAAACACGCAGCACAATAACCTTGCTGTGATGTGAATATGCCTTTAGATGAGAAGATACCACTCCCGTATCTGTCCATTCAATATAAAACTAGAGTGGAAGTGGGAAAACAACTAGCGCAGCTTTGTTCAGATATCCGCCTATCAGCACCTCTAAAGCTTACTATTTAACACGTTAGATGCATAGAAAAATGGTGGTCATTGGTTGTCTCATTTCTCTCTTGCCCCCTTTCTTTCATCTCTCTACTGTCAACTCTTTAATAAAGTTTTTTTTAATGACAGAGCCAGACTGGCTGTTTTCCCCTGTTTCTGCGGTAAGCTAAGCTAATTGTCTCCCAGCTCCAGCTCCATATTTAACGCACAGATATGAGAGTGGTATAGAACTAACAGTATTATTTACCGCTCTGCCAAAAAGTAAATAAGCTCATTTATCACAATATTAAACTATTCCATAACAAGCATAAAGCATAAACAACACTGGACAACAGTAAAAAGTTAAAAAAGTTTGGTCCTATCTCAGTGACTTATAGAATACCAAATTATTAATCAACTTAACAACCCTCCTTCCGTCACAACAAAAACAAGCTTGCACCACAAAAACATTACGTGTTTAGTCCTATTAGTACAAGACTTGTTTATGAAGCCATCCTGGCTTCTTAATAACTACACTGCCACACGCAGGCACACCCCCATCCTTCAGACTGATGGCTAATAATTGGTGCTCTGTTAGGAACAAAATGCACTGACCTATGCAGAAAAAATAACAGAGGGATGTACTCCACAACCTTAACTTAAATGCATTAATGCGGATGCGAGGATGATGGAAGAGTAGAGGGGAAAAGGAAGGAAGAATAATTTACAGTTCTACAGGATACAGGCAGAAATTCTGAGGGACAAAATAAAGTCAAAGATATTAACTACATCAAAAAACAAGGGGGTCTATTGTACAGTGTGCTCAGTTAAAGAACCGGTGTCATTTTTGTTACACCCTTTTTGGACCAGATTTACTAAAGGTTTGCGTGAGTAAAAATGTGTGCAAACTTGATATCACCAGGAAATTATGTTGTAGAGCTGGACGCACTGAATGAAACAAACCAAGATTTTTACTCAGTGGCTGCTTTCCCTCCCAGCTCTCCATGGCAGAAACCATTAAACACGCAAAACCCTCATTTAAATACTGCCACTTCCGTTGTGTTTGCACAGTTGTCATCTATGTTATAATTCTTAGTTAATCACCCATAACAGGTACTACAATTACAGATGCAATACTTTAGAATGCACACGCAATTTAGCACTCTTTATTCAAGATGTTAGTAAATCTGGCCCTTTGTGCAGTACATTTCAATATTGCAACAAAAAAATGGAACAAGTATAAATGGAAACAAATAGGTATTTGATTATCTGACAAAATGTCAGCTAGGGAAAGAAATATCACCGCCTCAAAGTCATCTTTATTTATTATTTATTTATTCATCTTTGTCTTATTTTCTTCGGCATACAAATCTTCCTAATTGCTCTTGTGGGATAGAGATTTTCTTTCAATGCTGAATGTAACCAGCCAATAACCAGAGGTCAGGGCCTCAATTATTGAATGTAAATTTTAGAGGCTAGTATGTGCTGTGCAGCTGTGAGATGACCTGAGCCACTTCATACCTAAAAATATAAGCACACACTCGATTTTTTTTTCGGGGGCGCACTTTTAAAACCTGATTTATATCAAGAACAAAATATTATGTTTGACAACATGGTACGTGTCGTGCTCACGGTACGTGTGAAGCTAAAAGCTCCCAATACATTAGAAGAAGATATTAATCAATGCATTGTCTTCAGTCAACATGAATGGAGCTCTACAGCAATACTTTTTTAGAGAAGTATAGAAAGTACTCTAATCAATATTGTCACAGAGTGAAGGTGGTTTTACTGCACACTACTTGGAATACATTGCTCAATCTGGACACTGATAATTAACTAAAAAGGTTTTTTCGAATTGTGTATAGCAGATGGATGAATTCAAGTAAATGGACTGCATTTATGTAGCTTTTTCTAGCATTTTTACCTTACCGCATAAAGTGCAATTTTGCCTCTCATTCATCCATTCATACACACTCAGCAGCCACTAGCCTGCCATCAGGAGCAGCTTGAAGCCTTAATCTAGATTTGTGACTCTTACAGTGATATATTAAACTTAAGGATATCAGGTTTTGACTATATATATATATATAAAAAGCAAGCTGTGGATTTCTACAGATCATAAATCATAACAATGTCATTCTGGAGGATCGAGATAATCAACAAATTGAATCATTGGACCAGCTGGCATAATCTGGAAGCGGGAAATTACCACCTTGAATGGTTACATGAACATATAATTAGAACTAGAATTTGCAAGATATTATATCTTTTTCTGATTCCTATGTGATTACAGGTACATAAAAGGGCACAAATTATAGTAAAAAAACTTATATATATATTTTCACTAAATGTCCTAACAAAGATGAGAACTCCAATTCACACCTGCAGACTCATATAATCACACACATTATGTGCTGCTGATTTTCAGGTTGTGCAGCACAATAGCCTCCCATTCTAATCTCTAACACACACAATGAGAGCAGACAGACAATCTTTCTTCCCAGAAGGCATCACTTCTTTTGTCTGCTATTCTATGGGAGATGTTGCTATGGCAATCAAGAGGTCAAGACAAGGCCCAAAAGGCCTTGTCCAGAGCAAATGAACAAGATAAACAAGAGTCTAAATGAATGCTGATTGAAGAGCCAGTGGTCTTTACATCAACATACAATGGCAACAATGACATACACAGAGCTTTGTGTGAGAGTGTGCATGTGTGTCATTAGGGCATGTGTGTATACAATCTGTTTCCTTTGTGGATCTGCTAAGTGCAGATACTGTAGCTTCATATATCAATGAAACTTTGATGTGATTAGGTTCCTATTATTAAAGGATTGACGCAAGTTCATTTTTTTTTCTGTTGCTGTTTTTGCTTAATTAAAAGTCCACATTACTCAGTCTACATTATCAGTATATTTATTTAAGCCAGAAGCTACATCTGCTCATTAACTACCCCAGTCTTGATTAATCATATCTTTACCTGGCCAAAAATTATTCTTTTTGTCATCATATAATGACTTCCTGTGATCCTGAGTTACTAATATTTATTGTGATGTTTCTTTTTGTTAGTCTTACATAGCCAGAACTGTCCTATCAGAGACATTTGGATAAACTAAAACTCAAGAGTTGGTTAAAAAGGGAGAAGACAGAGTAAGAGTTGTTGTTAATCTTGATGTTTAAAATGAACATCTAATCTAATGGATGCAACATTTCAAATGTCTTATTATTAAAAGTCTTATGTTCCTCCAGAACTCCACAATTCTTCTTAACAAGTTTACATAGCCTTGAAGCTGCACTAATCAATAATTTTATATTAACAATGGATCAAAAGTGTAATGTAAAAGGGGTCACTTGTAGTGACAAACTCACGGAGGACAATCGATGAACTCTGAAGTTCCACTGAGCTTTATGGAGCTTGTATTTTCAACTTTGACTGCTCTTGCCTTTCCGTCACACGTTTACATTATACATACATATCACATTCTGTAACTGGTTATCATCCCTTTACCTTCATGAAAACAATTCAGAGAGACGAGAGGTAACAAGGCAGCATGTATTCCTGTCTGCCACAATGTCTGTTGTAATACTACCACTATATGGTACCAAAGTCAGAAGATGTTTTAATTTAACATAAAGTAATGTGATGTTATGTAACATCAAGTGGTTTTAAAAATTGTCCGGAACTTCTAAATTGCATGCTTTTAGTCTTCTGCCTTGTATGATTTAAAGCTAGGGGAGGCAACATTGGAGAGACTGGCAAGAGACAGCTAGATTTTGAAAGTATCCAAAAGTATCCAAAAAAATCCCACCCCTTCCTTTCAGGGGGGCAGAGTGCATGCAGGTAGGTAAGTAGGTAGGTAGGCAAGGAGGTAGGCCAGCCAAACATTTCATTCGAAGTGAAAGATGACAGAAAAAAAAAAAAAGCAAGCAAAGGGAGTACACCTGGTTGTTGCTAAATATGAGACAGAACTCTTCTGGTCAATTAGTCAATCTGTGTGACTTCAGCCAAACATTTTTGAGGATAGGCTTTGTGCTTCACCTTTGAATTAGCTAAAGCAAATAACGTGTTTGTTCATTTATTTTTAAATTAAATATTTTAAAAAAGTGACAATCATAGTCAGGGAGTAAAGACACTAAAGCTTGTTTTATGCTCCGTCACTCAACACAGATGGTTGTTGTCCTAAAAACACACTGTATGTGTGTGTGTGTGTGTGTGTGTGTGTGTGTGTGTGTGCTCACAGTGCAATGTTTTATTCCTCGGCAAAAAGCAAAAGTGCCTGTATTGACGAGACTGGACACCATGACTGCCACTCCTGGAGGATAATCCACTTCTCCAGCTCTATTGGAATTCACTGAAGTCAAGCTTGCTTCAGTCGCCATTCTGTGCGAATAATCAAGGTACACTCACTTTTCAGAGCCTACTTTAAAGCCTACAGGGGATTAGGATTTGATCCTTTGATCATCACCAAACAACAGAATAGGGTAAAATGCTGCTTGCTCAGACCTATAACCTATACGGCCATATTTTGGGTGGAGGACAGTCTGAAAACAACACATTTGTAGTTCATATTTTTGTCAAGC